ATGTTCATTGTATGAAAAAAAGGCAACGTATATTCATGGATAACTTTTATATGCACAATTAAAAAGTTCAATCACGCAAAGGGCTCTTTATTGATCACATTAATTAAGTGACGAGATTTCTGAAGGGGCTCTCCTAACACCCTTTTTGGTAGAATGTCTATTGCTACTTAATCTCACAATTAGGCCTGAATAATCGCATTCATATCTTGTTCTTGAAGCTCTTCAACATAATTAATATAATATAAATCTTATCAGCTCTCAATTTAAACGCACTGAGTATACTTCTAATCTTCCCGTTCAAGCCAATTTTGATCAGATCTTTACAATATTATTTTTTATTTTTTTTTCCAATTTAATCTTTCAGCTTGGTCTTGGTCTAATTCAAGACAAACCCATCATAAATTTCAAACAAAACATAAAATAAAATAAAATCCTGACGTGACATAAAGTGTTATCAACAAGCGATTTGCTTGGTCATTGATGGAGCACAAATGGAAATGGACTTCTTCACTAACCTTAATCAAAATCTAGAATGTATCAATAATAACCTCTTTTGTTTTTTTTTTAAACAAAGTTACATCTTTGTATATTCGCCATGCCGTTTGATTTTTCCTTTTAATTTAAACAAATTACACACGCAGATATATACACACAAACACATACACATTATAGGTATAACTATGGGGCAATTTTGTTCGAAACACTATCAGATATTAAATATGGACATCTTTCCCAGCAGAGATTTGAACCTTAGTTCACTACATTATGAAAAATTAGTTCTTTTCACTAGACACAATCCTGTTGATAGTATATACTCCCTCCTGTTGGAAATATAAGCTAAACTTTGTTAGAGGGGCTTCGTTTCTTTTATAAGATAACATTCACTTTTATCTAAGCTTAATGAGTTTTTTTCAATTTTACCCACATATATTCTCTTTTCTTTTTGATTCATTTATTGTATCTTTTACTTATTCTCTTTATTAATAAGGGCATATTTAAAAATATATATATACTTTACATATTTATCATTTTAAACTGATCTTAATTAGTTTATTGATAAATATAAACAGATAAATTAAAGTTTAGACTATATATTGAAGCGAAGGGAGTATATATTCATGGGAAAATTGCATTAGGGTCCCACCCAAGGAAATTAAATACAAAAGTCTCTTATAGTCATCAAATTAATCTAAAGTTGTAAGACACATTATTGCTAGAGATTTCACTTGTTAAATTACCAAGTTACCCTCATTTTTTTTAAAAGTATGCATTGATAATTAAAAGTGCAATTTTTAACACCTAAGGTGCAAAAAGTAACAACTTATCATGGCGCGTATTAATAACTCATGCATTAAATCTTTGTGATATATTAAAAAAATATGTTGTTAATACCTGTTGTGATAATTGTTAATCATTATACTTTAAACTGTTAACAACTGCTTTTTCAGTTGTCAATATATACTTAAACAAAAGATGAGGACAACTTAGTAATTGAACAAGTAGAATCTTCTACAATGAGATGTTTTGCGACTTTAAATTAAGTTGATGATTTTAAGAGATTTTTTCGTATTTAATTTTTTTAGGTGGGATCTTAATGCAATTTTTCCTATATTTATTGAAGGAGAGAAAATGCTCTCTTACAGAGCCCACTACTACTCTAAGTTTAACTTAAATAACAAGTTTTCTCTTTTGTGTGTTCCACTTTGGGTTATAAAAAGACACAAATCTAACTAGGGTTGCCTTGTCTTGCAGCATAAGTTTGATTAATTAATTAATCGAATTAAATTAAAATGCCAACTCACATCAATGAAACTTTTTTTTTTGGGCATCTGAAACCCTTTTTTCTCCCTCCCTCATGAGTTAATTATTTCTTATTGACCTGAAAGTTAAAGTCAACATTCATCAATCACACTCACCATCCACTCCACTTGGAATGTTCCCCAACTTGGTCAAATTTTGAATATATTTTTTTTCCTGATACAATCTAGCATAATTATTAATGCTTTTCAATTCAGAGTTTTTGCAAAAACTTGTTGATCTCAGCACAAAATCCAATGTTTGTGTCTACACCCATGTGTTAAGTTGGGATTTTTAATGTGAAAGGTTCTCCCTTGGATTGATTCTTTCTCAGGTCAACAGTTATTTTGACTGGTTCTAATTTACTAAACCTTTCATCACTTTCGCTTTATGTTTACTAATTTAAAATCTGATTTGATCACACACTGACCCACCAATTCACTGTAGCAACCAAGAAGATAGAGAAAGGAAAAACCTTTTTCGTCGCTTTAATAATTTAGTATTTTGTCTTACAGGGTCATCAACTTTCACAAATTGCAATAATTTAGGATGGTTTGACTTAGTCATGCCCTTGAATTATTGTTAATTGAAGAAAGACCAGGAAGCAATAGTTTGTTTTTTTTAAAAAATTCTTTTTATCTGTAGTTAAGGATTATTTACGTTGTTGGTGGGTACATATCAAATGCTTACACGGAAAAGAAAACAAATATGAATTAAATAATGCTCTACTTTTTATATGCTAAGATTTGTATGGTTCCAAAGAATAAATCATGACAAATCAAAAGTTTCAAAAATTAATTGATAATGCTTGATATTTGAGTCATATGAATAAAAAGACATTTTAAAGAAAACTACCTCCTATTTTAAGATGAGGCTGTGCTTAAATTTAGATTTGTTAATAATACGAGATAGGCAAATATCTAAAGGTTATCAAGAGAAGGTAAGATAAAAAAAAAAAAATTTGAAAATTATAATCTTTTACCAAGTCATACATATATATGACACAATCATCGTGAACTTTTCATTCAACAATCAAATTTTTGGAATTGCTCCTCAAAAGTCTAGGCTACATGGAGAGTTGCCTTATCATGATTGCTTAAAAGAAACAGAGCACACTGGAGACTGGACTACATCTAATCTACCACTTCCCACAACGTGTTTTGTCTCAAAATTTTAAGCTATGATTAGCATCTGAGTGGATTTTCCAAGGTGAAGGCTCAGAATAATGATTGTGAAAAGGGAAAAAGAAGATGCAATTTTGAAGCAGCCATTGAAGAACAAAAACCAAACCCATTCACCTAATTCTTTTGTTTATATCAGTTCTTGTACTGATATAAAGCCCTTTTCATACTGCATAATCCAAAAAGTTAAGCGTGTCAGCTTTACTATATCATACTCTAAAATCCAAGAGGTTCACAATGACACACACCTAATTCCAACCTCTTCCCAATATTTCTAATCACACTTACATCTCAGATGCCTTTTTTTTAATCATTCTGCTAAAATAATATTAGTGCTTCATCTCAGCCTCTTCCTAGATCTCCAACTAAGGTCAAACAGTTTACACGTAGAATTTGATGATCAAGAATGTTTCTAAAGGTGAGCGTGAAAATTTCTTGGAAGATCCAGTCTACAAAAATAAAATAGATGAGTCTAATCACAAAAAGACATGTAAACATAATAAAATTAAGTTTTCAACGGGAATCACTTCCTGCATACCTACAAGTCTTCTAATAATTGATTTGATTTACTTATCTTTCATAAACCTATATAACTATTAATTTATTTTCAGGTATCTTTTTCTGCGATATATACATATATATATATATATATATTTCCCATTGGTCAGAGTATGGCAGAAGCATCCAATAAAGGAGTGCCTTTCACAAGCACCATCGCATTTTTTGTCATATCTGTTTGTTTGGTGGCTTACTTTCATCAAACAACCAAAAGACCACTCACAAATAGAAACAATTTGTGGGAGTGGAAAAACAAAATCCATCTAGTTGAGCAGATGAGAAGGATTGAAGAAGTCAAAAGGTTCAGATCAAATTTGAGGAAACTTCAAAACTTGTCAAAGATGTCAGGCTTTTCTAGCGAACTTGTTGGCCCTCCTCTTAAATGCACTATAACCCTGTTATTATAACGGTCATAGGGGCCTGCCCACTAAAATTAATTCCCACAGCACCTACTTTCCTATCGGAGAGTCAAGAGAATAATTCAGAATGCGGTTTTCTTTTTCTTGGCCATGAGTATAAGATGATTATAAGCTGAGCCCCCCTGTTTCTGAGTTATGGAACAGATATCAAGTCAAATAATGCATCTTCCAGTACGAAACAGGGGGATTATGAAATGAAATGAGGAATAAAAATTAATTCTCAAGTACAACATAATTTGTAGTTATACATATTTAGGTAGGATGCAATTAAATAGCACCTTCAAACCATTTCCTCTAAGATCTTTGCATGATATAAGTGAAGCTTCGGGCGTTTCCCTGAATCAAGTTGTCTAAGTTCTATATCCTCAGATCTTATAAAACAGAGACAATGTTCAACAAAACTTCGTAATTGATCAACTTGTGGTCCTAGTGTCCTGCTATTTACCTTTGGATCTGTGGCACCATCTTAAACAAATGAGCAATTTTTTCTTCTTCTGCTTTGCTTCTATCTCCCTGAGCCAAAGAAAAATAAAATGAATGCAGGAAGCCTCACATGGAGATGCAGAAGTTAATGTCAGAGACAAATGAAAAAGGACGGATTCCGCGTACAACTACTTGATGGGGGAGCTTTGCCACCTATTGTGGTCCTGTCCTACTTAATTCAGATTAGTGTGATCCTGTTACCAAACGATCTAATCCAGAAAAGAAAACAAAGAAAGAAAGAAATGGGACAGGTATTCCGCGTACAGCTATGTATAGGCCTATGGAGGGGCAAAGAAGGATGGCTCAAGCAATCCTTGTCGAAAGTCAAAACAGATTATAAAACTGATTAAGTTGAACGAAGGATAGGTCCAGTACGGAATTTACGTTTGTGTTTGTCAGGAATGAAACGGTGGAGACAGACGTTATACAATGATTTTATATTAGAGGACAATGATTCAAGCCAAAATCTTTTTAACTTCAGTAATGGAAAAGGGAACGAGAAGTGATATTGAATAGAAATTATTTTATATTTGTACTTAGTGATTAACAATCACAGGAATAATTTAACCCAAACAAAAAAAATACTTATATAAATGAATATCAGGAGAAGTATACTATTCAATAGCTGTGAGAAGTATCACTTCTTTTAAGCAATTTCAAAATATATACAATCCTAACGACAGAGAAGCACACCAGCAATAATGCATATGGATAAACTCAGCTCATTAGACATAGATTTCTTACAAAATAATAAGTGCCTCAAACTACGAGTACCCCTTCGTGATTCGCAAGCCATCTCTGATAAACTAGACATTTCTACTAGTAAAGCAAAGAAAGGTAAACTTCTTCCTCCAGTCATTCGGAAAATTACACCTAACCCCGACGGAATGCTTCTTGTTCGGCAATCACATTCCGCAAACGCTTCATCTAGTTGAGATAGGGTGAGAAAGCAATCACCAACAAGCAGCTTGAGAATATAATGTGTGTGTGTGTATCTCCCTGAACTGAAAATACCCCACATGGAACTTGAGAATCTAATATCCCTCTTTTCAACGGATGCCACGGTAGAATAGGATTGATTAATCAAACTGAAGCTGTTTAGCAATTTTGACCCTCCATGAGATCAGCTAGAGTTATTTTTCCACAGTTGCCGGAATCTATCTTATCAAATTTCTCACCAATCAGCAAAATGTCTTTATCTGACACTTTCCCCATCTCCTTGAGCTTGTAAATAACATATTCTGATTTACTGCAAGAGAAACAGCAAATGCTTGTCAACAATCCCTGACAATGCAATGAGGCAAAGCTGAAAGTGCCAGAACAAGCAGAAAATCAGTATACAAGACAATTATTTAACAATTTCCTCTTTCTCCCATCTGAAACAGAGAATGAAACAGTCTCATGCAAATTATAGGTGCCAACCATCCAGGGAAGTGAGAGCAATAGAAGAGCTAAGTAAAAACGATTTATCAAACTTGATATCATGATTACGGCAACAATGCATTAAAAAGGCTAATTATATGACTTTGTTAATGCAATAAAGCAAACTCAATAATTATGATCCAACCATAAAATAGATCTACCTATTACATAGATCCCATTAAACTGATAACCAACAACCATCATGAATGCTAATTATAGCGTTCTAGAAAACTATATTTTGTTGATTATGTTTCCCCTCTAGAATAAAAATGGGATGCCTTTAATAATAGCACTAAACACTTACTTTCATTACACACACACACACACTGAAGCCTAAATTTAAAATCATTCTTGTCAATCACCGATTCTCTAAGCAGAAGCTAGCACTGAGGGAAATTTATGTGAAACTAATCCTATCATATGTCTTTTTGTGCACATGCAATACCAAAATTTTAATTTTAAGCATGTTTAATCCACGTTTTGGAGTTCCATAAGCAGTCCAGCTTCTCCCTACTAAACTGGGAAAATAACTTTCTACTCTAAATCTGCCTAAGCACGCCTTTTCTGCAAGACCTCCAAACCTGAAGAAAAAAATATATATCATAGGAATTGTACACAACTTGACCTTGATCATAACGTTTAGCTGTTTGACATTTCATACTTACAACTTATGAACCCACCAAGCATCCAAGCTTGGAGAAGTAGCAAAAATAAATGGACCTCCCAAAGCTGCAACTGCAAACAATAACTGATCCAAAACCTTAAAATCGAGAACTCACTGGAATTAATCCTGCTTAAATCTGCAGTCCTCCGAACACTAAATTAAAAGTATAACAAAACATGTAGTTGTCCATCCTCTATTTTCCTCTCAAAATTTTAAACACACTACTCTCTTCCATAAACTTGTCTATCCAAGTGCAGTTCTCCAAAGCCTATTACCACAATACTAGTCATTGTTGTATTTGCAATGGTTACCAATGATCTGTGTAAACCTAACTTGCGCAGGCAGTATAATCGGGCAAAATGAAGTTTACCAAGTTACTCTGAAAACATGCCATATCAACAACTGTTTATTGCAAAATATGAGTATAACATCCCAAAAAATTTACTTAATTGAGCTGGTTCAGCAACGCAGGACATATTCTCTTTTCATGTTTTTCACTTTGCCTATTAGTTCCATGTTATATGATATGTGCTTGTTAATCCCTCCCTTTATCAAGAAATATTCCGGATCTTAATAACAAGACGGCCTCAATGACAGTGACATTGAGGTAGCCAAGAAGGGGAATATTTCAACAATAGTAGAACCACTTAAAAGTAAGTTTCGATTGGCATGTTATGTCTTCTACTACTAGTTTAATTACTCAGGCCAGGCTGATTCAGCTAAACAATATAACAAGACAGAAAAGCAGAATGCAAGACAGCAACTTGTTCCCTTCAGAGATAGAGGAGTACAAGAACCTCTAATGTATAAAGTTACTGATCTAAGGTAAACCAAAAACATAATGAAGAGACACAGTTTAACACAAAAACTTACTGTCACAATAACATAATTGATCAGAAGATCTGATAGCCACTTTATTAGAATATAAAGCATTTAGACCACTTGAATCACTAGCCCAAGCATAAAAAACAAACTTCCCAGCTAATATACACATTATAACATCCCAGATTTGATAAATAGAACATGAAGAGACTTAAGAACCACATACCAAGACATTATAAACCAGAACAACCATATAAAACCAACTTCTTAAAATATCTGAAGATTCCATCTCTTCAGAGAATTCTAAAAATAACAAGATCTGTGAAATTAAAATCTTATGATAATCTTAAAAGATGCCACTATTTCCAACATCATGCCTCGATCTAAAATTCTTATTTAGCATGTCCACACCTCACGCAGCACTGGTGTCGATCGGCTCCTACCTCTTGAATATTAACTATACATTGCAACATGTCACCTCACTTCAATATATGTACTCAGAGAACTAATAATGACGTTTAAGATTTAATTAAAACATGAAAGGAAGGGTTTTGGTTTCTATTCAAGTCAATTTATAACTTTTTCCTTTTTTTTGCTTTCATACCATCTTTAAATTATCCAACGTGAGTATAAGCTATGTGCACATTGCAGGTAGTCAATTTTTAATGTTGATATTTGGCGCATATGGTGTATGGTTATATGTATCAGCTAGAAAAGGAAAAGATTACTTTAAAGAGAACAGAACAAAGTGAACCATTGTTAATAAGAAGAATCAACAGTTCTGAATGTCTTAAAGTACAAGCAACATAATAGAAACCTATGGACTATGAATACCAACTCCATTTCTTATCAAGGACTACTCATTTGCACTTCACTTTCTAAAGACCAACTTGCACTTAAAATGACTCATATCTAATTAAAACAATGAAAGTTTCTGAAAGATGAACATGTAAGAGAGCATACCTCACAAAGCCATTATTGTCTATATCTGCAGCAAGAAACTCAGAAACAGTCATATCCTGACCAAGAATCCAGTTTGCCATTTTCCTGTGTCGCTTATCCACTCTTGCCTCGGCCAAATACAGGAATGCCCGGGCCACTGCAAGCGTTGATACAAGTAACCATATTGCAGCAAAGATGCGACCAGGCAATGTCTTGAATGCATGGTCCCCATACCCAACAGTTGTCACGGACATAACTGAAAGATAAAAAGAATCCAACAACCCGAGCCCTTCCACAAAATGCATAACCCCAAAACCAATTCCAATACAAAGGACGACAACCCCCAATGCTAAAGACACCTTCAACCTAATCCTCATTCTCCCTTTCTTCACATCTATTATATATGATCTCGCATCCTTCTCAAGTCCAACCTTAGTCTTCACCGCTTGGAGCAAGTGATTCTCTTGCAAATCAAGAACATAACTGACCATACCACTGAGCAGTATGTCAATAAACCCAAAACCCACCAATACAAACAATATAGAAAACAGTTTTGTTGCTGTACTATTTGGAGTAATATCACCATAGCCTATTGTACACATTGTCACTATACAAAAATATAAACCGTCTATAACAGGATGAGTCTCAGTTGCTGAAAAATTATGACGATTGAACCAATAAATAACCACCCCCAATGACAAATACACCATAAGAAGAATAACAGCTTGGCGAACAATCGACTGGGAACCAAATTGGGGTCTAACAACTTGGCCCTGGTGATTAACACCGCTGATTACCGCCATAGCCGGGGCAGTTTTGGAGCGATGAAGATTAGTTTTGTGACTAGGATAATTGGGGTCAGTAAGCCAAGACTGTTGGGGTTGTGTATCTTGAGGGTCCTCTGAAGAAGAGGAGGGTCTTGGGGAGTTAAGGGTAAGTGTTAAGGCCTCGAGCAAGGGGGACGAACCTGTGGGGGAAGAAGGGCCAAAGATAAGTCGGTCCTTAATCGCCGAAGGGGTAAGAGGAACAACGACCTCATCGTGCTCCGGTAAAGGGCATAGCAGCGATGGTGGTGGCGGAGGCTTCTTCCTGGGACTAGCATATGGGAGCAGAGGCTCTTTCTCCATACTGGTCGGCCTCAAAACTGCTCTTCGGTTCACAAGAATCCCGGTTACTACGAGAAGGCAAACGGAGGCGGTTTTAAGATGCCGAAACACGTTTCAACAAGCGATTCAATCATTCAATTCATGAACTTAGCAGAAAGTGCTAGTAGAAGAATACATAGCATTAAGTAGTTCCGCGAAAAAAGGAAATTTGGCTTGTCGTCACACAATTGGTCTTCGATGAAGACGAAGGTTGATACGGAAAACGCAAAACGTCAATGATTAATTGAATTTGGGGGGCAAATTAAAGACAAAGAAAACAAGCATGAAATGAAGATAAGTACGGAGTTTACTCCACTGTTGTTCAGTAAAAAGATTATGAATTTAAGGACCGGATTCAGATCGAATCCTCCAAGGTCAATACTACGTGTCACAATCAGACGCTAACTAGTGGCGCGTGACGTTTCTCTTTGATCATGCATCCTCCGACCTGGCCCGTTCCAACAGGAGAGCGAGACAGGATTTGACTTTTGCTTTTCTTTTTCTTTTTCTTTTTTTAAAGGGGGGACTAAAAATTATGCTTGCATTACACGAGAGAATATGATCGTGCCGGTAATTTACAATTTTACATCCTATTGTTATGCACATTTTTTCCTATTTCTCAATAAAGTATAAACCTTCATTTTCTTAAGTATTAAAAATACCAATAACGAGTGAGAAAAAAAAAATGTAATGATGAGTTTTTAATGGAATAATGGCGTATTTTCCACTCTACCTGTAATAATGGACATTGAAAAATAATCCCTACCAATAACTTGTAATGAACATGCCGTGAAAAAGGTGCAATGAATCAATGTCATTAAATATAAAATATAAATTTTTTTGACGAGTTTCCATTTATAAATAAAATTATTTTTTAATATTTCATGCAATATAGGAGAATTGTATTGGATAGTCCTTATGAAAATAGAAGGCAAAAATGGACCCGCAAAAAAAAAAAGGAGACAAAATGTAAATTAATGAAACATGATTTGGATCCGAAATTTTAATTTGTTTTCTTTATTTCATTAAGAAAATATGCAAACTTCTGTGAAACAGACTATTATGAATTCCATTAGCATATTATCTTATTCTCGCATCTTCTCTTACACGTTTATTTTGATTAATAATCAGTTAAATCCTTGTTGGCATAAAAAAAAATCAGTTAAACTTAAATCCTTAAGTAAGACCTTGTGTGGGGTTTGATTAGGTACCTTAATAGGCAGCTTCTACAATTTATTGTAAATTTTTTATGCTAAATTTATACTATTAATAGTATCGATATTAATTCATGCATCTTTTTACATTGATTTGCCTTTTTATATTTCACATTAAGTTCATGCATCTTCCAGATGATTTTCATGCTAAGTTCACAAATAAGGTTTATTCTGTTCCAGTATGTGGATTTTAAGGCCATTCATAATAATTAAAAAAATTAATATTTCTTTTAAGTGATGCATTATAATTTTTCCTTCCAATAATTACGTCAACTTTTTTTCCTAATATTTATTGATAAAAAAAAACTTGTTTATCGATGAAACAAATGTTCTACATTAAAAAAAAAAAACCTACTATTCTCTTGAAAAAATAAATGTATATTGGACTATGCAAGGTCTAGTATTCTAAATAATAAATACTCCTCTAATCATAGATAGAAGACTCATTTTGTAATATAAATTACACTATAAAATGAGTCTTATATTTAAGGTTGGAAAAAATAATCCACCCCCGGGGGCAGGGGAGTCATTGGCCAGCTCGATGATGCCAGTTCAAAAGAATCAAAACATGCTTGATATGGCTTGTTATGGTTGGCGGACAGCCCTTTTTCTTTGCGTTCAATTTTCAGACATTCCTATATATACGCGCTAATCTCAATGCTTGATCATGATGTCCATTTCCAGTTAGCCAGTTTTATAATAAAAGCATGAACAGCTCAATGATTAATTAACAAACCAACTCCATGACATGGTCATGCCCATTTTATTACTCCCTCCATGATACAATAAATGAATTAAAAAATATATATGAAGTAAAATTAAAAAAACTAATTAAATGTTTAAACAAAAATAAATATCACCTTATTAAAAAAATCAGTTCCTTCTAACAAAATTTAGCTTATAGTAGTATTTTATGAGGGAGTATTGTTATTATCACTGTTACTAGATAAGATGTTCCAACTTCAGCGTTAGAATATTAAATATTTGCTCTCCCTTCTAGAGAGTTGATTCCAAGGCCAGAACAGTCCCATCCAATGCTCATGGGGACTATTTCCAGCCCATAATAACATTATGCTCTCCAGGCCTTAAATGTTAAGAACCGCATAGAAAGTTTATTTTAGTATTAATTTTTAATCTATTTTATTTCTCATATTTGTCATGTTCTTAAAATTAATTTATTTAACTTATATATAATCTAATTTTATATAAGCGTATCTTAGAAAAATCGCACCAAATTTGAGTGGCTCTTGCATAATTGAGACGGTAAGCAGTCAAGTGATTAGTTGTAATGATATCACATCTAGAGTCGAGCATACAAATTGGAAAACCAGACACTTCCCCTACACTAAAATAATAAATGCAATTATGCAGAAGACAAAATCATACGCAGCTCAAGATACGCTAACGTGGCACCGTAGTCAAGCCAAGGCCCTAATCAGATTCTTATAGGCTATTATTATAATAAAACTAATTAATTCAATCATAATTTTTTATTTTTGTCTACAGAACTCAAGAGATATTTCTCATTTATAAAATTATTTTATTTGATTTCTCATCTTATTTCATTCCATTCCACATGAGAAAGGGAACACACCTATCGCGTGACATCAACACTACGATAGGTCTGTTCGGCTCAAATGGAGATTCGAGTTTGGATACGCATAAACCTAAAATAATGATACCAGTAAATTAATCCGGAGTTTGACTCAATTAAGCAAATAAGTTATGAGCCCAATCGGCTACAAACAGATTAAAGCAGATTTGTGCCATTCATGTCAGGTCACAACCTTGGAAGGAGAAACCTCCATGTCTTCCATCAATCCAATCTGTTCACAAGCTCTCTTCATAGACTTAACCTGCTGGTACATTTGCTGACTAGTAAATGGGCCTAAACAGGCACCAACAACCAGAGATGAAAAATTATTCTTACTCATCTCCAAGTCTCGCCAAGCCCAAACAGCTTGCGCTCATTTGTGATTATTACATCTAAAAAGGTTCTGTGAAGAGAGTACTGAATGTTAAGTAAACTATATATCTCAGGTCATGTAAACGTAACCATAAATTTTGCAGATGCCACCCACAAGATAGATATTGTCATACATATGAATGTGCCCGGTTACAAATGAAAACTCTTCCAGAGTAATTCGAACTGGCAAGGGGCAAAAATTCAAAATCATAAACTGAAACATATATGTCTTGCAACTCAAACGATATACTGTGTGGTTTAATGCACAATAAAGCATCATATTAATACTCCGCACACCTTTCGAAGGGATATCATAGCAACAGCTAATCATCATCATCAAGGACACTGCGACGCCTTTGTATCTGAAAATGTAACAAGATGTATAACACAGCGGGTAATTATACCTAATTTGAAAAAGAATGGGATAGCCAGTAGTCTACAACTTACAGTAACTTTCGTCTGCTTGGTTGTTTGGTTGTTTATCTGCTCCAGCAATGATATGAGTCTTTCTTCAGAAACCTGCACATGCCATTAAATAGATAAAATGCCATACTCTAATTCCTCACACGCAATACACTTCAACTTCCAAATGGATCTGATCTTATTTATTCCCTTTTCTTCTCAGTTGATTACTACAAAATGAGCCTCTTCAGAGAAAGGAATAGAAATGAATGATGTAGGCCATGACAATGTTAGGTTTAGAAAAGAATAAGAAAAAAAATTATTTTTATATTTTGCTACCTAAAACTAATGGACTTGAATAATGATGTCAATGCAACGGGCGTTTAACCCCGAGAATTTCAGGCTTTCCTACGATCAGAGATCCGATGATCTTCTCAATGATGAGGCAGCTTCTTGAACTATGGCGATGGCCAAAGCTTCATCATCTCCAATCCAATGGCAGTGGCTCTATAGAGTTCAAGACCCACTGCTCAATAGCCTGCTAATCAAAGGCATTTTTGTCCTCACATTTTGATTCACCACAAAGTTTTTCCCCCTCCAAGTTTTAGATGGACTTTGTGAAATCACAATTCTTTTAACACTAAAACTAGTAAACAAACAGGACCTAAATTACTTTCCTACATTTTCCTACTACGTTCAAAATGTTATTCCTTTTCATCTAAACTTGAAGTGTGCCAGTAGGCTTAAACCTTCACTATCATCAAACAGAATAGATAATTTATAACCATAAATGAAATTGCAGTTACTTGTCATGAAATATTAAACATACTCAATAACACAAGCCGCTTGTTTAGAGTACAATCGACAGTTTACTATCTTTTGCTAGTTTTAATTAGTGTCAACCACAAGACAATGCATGGCACTATAGATTGATCAACATTTCTCAGCATCAAAGATTGTAGAATGATTGGTTGCACAAGAGTTACAACGGAGTTCAAAAGGATGGAAAATATAGAAATAGAATCATCATTAGAATAAGAAGTAGAGAAGTTGCAGCAAATGACAAGATCCAAAGTACCTTTTCTGTTATCTGCCCCATTTGAGCAGCTCTCAATATGACATCTTCAACACCTCTTGCTTTCTCAGGTTTCACCAAAGCAATTCGAGCAACTACATATAATGATAGCACAAACAAGAAAGATATAAAAGCGTCAATTACATGCAGAATATAAAGGAAAAGATCAAAACGTAAATAGCAAATTAGCATGCTATCGTAAACAATGGAACATACAAATGTACAATACAATAATACATCATTCTAAGTGAGGGGAGGAAGGATGACAGCAGAGAATGAGAGAGAGAAAGCTCATCTTGAAACAAAGAATGGCTCTATTGCCAGTGACATCTTTAATGAGCTGGTTTTGTAACACCGTTTTGACTAAAAGTTTTGAAGGTAATCTCATCCATGAATATAACCCATTTTAGATGCCTTTTTTTTCATCTTAAAAAAATGTCTTTTATTTTCTTGCCCCTAAATGCTATGATTTCTTACCACACTTCCCCCAAATTGTCTCAACATAGATATAACTAAATTATACAACCGCCAATTGCATCCAAGTAAAAGTAGCACTTTTAATCTTCTGTCAGACCCTCTGAAGAGTAGCATTGAACAGACTATCAAATAAAGTTGCTTCTATAACAATTATCAATTAAAGGATCAAACCAAAACCGGAAGGAAGATTTAGTGCTCTTTAATAGATAAAAAGTGACTAGACAAACAAGAATCCAAAAATTCAGGTATAAACTTACGTCTTTCTCGAGCCTCAGCAGACAATATCTGACTGAGCATCATTTGTCTTCGCTCCTCCGCCTCCCTAAATAAATTGTTTTCTCGTTCAGGTGAATAATCTTTCATCCCAAAAACATTAAATGCAGAAAAGGAAAAAAATATTTCAAATATAATTTATAGAACGAAGAAGAAAAGCTCGTGTAATTGTACAGCAATTTAGTATTAAGTGACTGACCTCTTAGCATCCTCCTGAGCCTTCTGCTGTTCAGAGTTTTGTTGACTTCCCTGATAACAATAATGACATGACCAGCAACATCAATATACAATATACTTTCTCTCTTATAGGACTGAGTAAATTTAAAGCCCTAGTGACCACTAACCATGCCTTGCTGAGCCATAAGCTCCTGCATCCTTCTCTTTCTGATTGCTTCTAACTCAGGATCAGCCTGAAAAACAGTAAGTAGCTTTATTAACTAATCTGGAAGAAGTATGAAACTAGGAACCCATAAACCAAAACGTTGAAGCACAAGTCAGTAGAGGGGTGCACTTTGACAGAGATACAAGGTTTGACTAATTTTTCAGGGCTGCCTCACGAGTAATTACAGTTCAAAGGTGGTAGACCAGAGAACAACAAGAATATTAACTAAGAGAAGCCCAATAAACAAAATGCAGAGCACCATGAAATCCAAAGTTTGCAATTCCACAGAGGGATCATCTCAATTCTTTGAGATTTCAAAGTTCAAGGTTTCTAAGGTCCGTAGCTCTTATTCAAGCTCAAAAACTCGTAAAGAAACTAGTTTAACACCGATATCAAGCGTCATAATCTCCGCCACCAAATTACCAAAGAAGACATCCAGCATGTAAACAGATCAGTGCTAACCCCCCCACCCCACCCCACCCCAAAAAAAAAACGAAGTCTACTCATGTCAACACGACATGTTTAGGTCAGAAAACATTCAAAATTCGGAAAGAGGATAAATCCTCAACACCCTGATGCAGAGTCCCTCCGTTTTCAGGGGAAATAAAGCAGAAAAATCAGGGGAAATAAAGCAGAAAACGATATAAACGGTTCCATTCATTGAACGCACCATTGGTAAGCTAAGCAGAGTAAACCCTAGAGAACCGAAAGTGAACTTCCCGATTCACCACCTAGGACGAGTAGTAGGATGGAGCAACCTCCTCACCAACTGAACCACGAAAGGCCTTTTGTTTAGAGGTCGCGTTTGTAATACGCGATTGCCCTTTTGTTAAAAGATCGCGTTTGCCTTTGTCAGAAGTCAGAATTCAAACAGAGAGCCTATCGGGTGTCGTGGCAAGCGACCATCGTCCATAGCTCTACACGTGAGAGACCTCGGGCGTTATTTAAATGGGCCCACTCTATCGGCCCACTATGAATCTCGCCAGCTAATGGGCCTTTCATTGCGCAACTCTGCTAATGGGTTTGGTGCATGCTCCTTATTATTTGTTCGGGAACAAAAAATAACATCTGTATCCAAAAAAAAAAGGTCAACCTCTCGGACGTTTTTTTTTTCCATAACTGAATATATTGGGTTCAATGCATGTAACAAAAATTAAAGGAAAAATCACCCAAAAAAAAACTTAAAAATTAAAAAATTACATACAGACCCGTTCATAAAAATTGTTGTCATTTACCTATTAATTATTGTCAAAACCCATACTAATGTTGTAATGGTCCCTTCCAAAATTAAAATGATAACTATTAATTGTCTCTATAAAAAAATGATATTTTTTGCCAACAAAAAATGATATTAATTGGTTATAATTATTGTTAAAAATGATTAATTAGTTTTATGCATTTTCTCTTTTTATCTTTTTCAGGAACAACTAAATATAAATATATATATATATATATATATATAAGATATACGTAACTAGCAATTAATTTAAGTAGCGGCTTTAATCAGTAAATTGAATCATTGTTCAAACGGGGAAAGACATGTTCATGGACTTGTCTCAGGATTGGTCAGGCTCAGTGAGAAATTAGATTGAACTGGATGATTTTCACGAAATAAGTGTATAGTAAATTTGAACGAATGATCGAATTTTCTTGATACTGGATTTAACCTCTAAGGAGGCCCAAACAAAGAAAGACACAAATTTTTTTTTTGGGCAGAGAAGACCCGTGATTTGAGAGCAAAGAGATTTTTGTGATGCTGTGATAATGCAGCCTGCATTAAAGACAGATAACAACATTAAATAGTCATGCGCATTATTTTGCCAAATGCTTGTGGTTGGTAAACACTCTATTTCTTAGATGAATGAATGAGATTTTGAGCAAAGAAAGCAGAGAAGGTGACTAGTATGAGATGAGAGGACCTAAACGCCCTAAATTCATATGCATCCTCAGTTTTTTTCTAGCTCAGGATTGCCTTCTCTTTTCTTCAATTCCGATGTCCTCAACCTCAACCATATTTCACTCTAAATTTATTAATTAATAATAATACAAATACATTTACATACTTAACCAACCTCTGCTAAGTAATGACTAGTTGACTACCCTCCCCTGCTCTTCTCATTCTTTATTTTTTTCCCCTTCTTTTTCTTGTATAAAAGACAGTTTTATTAAAAACTAAGTAAAACAATATATAAAAAGGATTTCAACAGTTAACATATCAAGAAAGGTAACCATGAAGCCCAATAATAAAATATAAAAAAAAAACAAGTACATATATAGAAACGTAAAACAGAGAGTAAAAACATAGAGGTAGCAAAGTGCAAAAAGAAACTTGAATGTAATAATAGGTTCGCAGTTTAACCTAGTAGAGAACATCCCAGAACAAGTTTCTTGTCCCGCATCAACTAACCTAACTCCATGCATGGTTACTCTGAAGGCTCAAACAATCATGGAAAGAGTATCGACAAGCACACGTGTAAAACCATTCTCATAAGTTAACGTTACCGTGAGACATGAATACAACTCATGATCTCATGACATCTACACCATTTGAGGTGTTGAAAAAGAGGAATTTTTTCTTCTACTTGGCTTACATGTACCTTGTAAATTAAAAACTAGATTGAGATTTAATCCTTTTATAAAATATTAAATCTCAATAATTTTAAATAATAGGAATGAAATGTGAAGAGAGGAAAAAAAGAACAAATAAAATAAAAGATTCAAATCCGATCCGTACCCTCCCTCTGGGCTGAAATCTCAAACCCAATTTGTGAAGATCATATATGGTCTTCAAACCATTGTAGATCCAGATTCACATCAACTTTGTCCCCCCCCCCCAAGGTATAGCAGGGGAGATTTTATGATTCAAATATCAGTGTTAGAAAATTTGAATTTCATATATTTAAAGATTAACAATAAAATCCGTTAAATTTACTAATACGCAGCAAGTTATTTAAATATCTTACACTGCCTATAAAATTAACCGTATAATCCTCCGGTAAGAAACGTTTAATCCACAGTCAATGCTTGCGCGGCAGAATCGTTTCCTCTTTCTTTTTGTTTTTACATGGCATGACCACTGAATCATTACTCAAATCTCTCCGTCAACATCACTCTTTCTTTTTGCTAGTTTAGTCAAAACCTGAAGAAACTAAACAAATCCCATTTGAAGCTAATAACAAGGTCCTCTGGCTTCCAATTACCGAAGCAGACCTGCAGGTGTCAGGGACTCACTCACCGATACATAAGGCAAATCCAGAGACCTCAGCTGAGGAAATGGGCTTCACAATGGGTCTGAATCTTGTTCTTCTCGTCGCTATGGTGGCCACCAATATCCTCGCCCTCTACCACCTCACCGCCTCCTCGTTTCAGCCTCCCAGTTCCCCGAAAACGACTCAACATGTTCCCGATCAGCTCCTCCATCAACTCCATACGATACGCGCCACCGTGAATCGACTCACGCGCCTTCAGCAGTCATCTGGGAGTGACAATCCTGCTTCCGCCACTAAACCCACTGTCCCTTCAGATCTCTTGTTGTACTCTCGTTTGGCTCCTATAGCTTCGGCTTGCCATAACTACCCTGAGCTCCTGCACAAGTACATGAGCTACACTCCTTTCTCGCTCTGCCCTTCAGATTCCGACCTCGCTGAGACTCTCATTCTCCGCGGGTGTCACCCTCTTCCTCGCCGGCGATGTTTCACTAGAACCCCACAAAAACCTACTTCTTCTCTTCCACATAACCCCTTCCCTTCGTCGCTCCCGAGCTCCAATGTTATCTGGGATAAGTACTCCTGCAAAAGCTTTGATTGCCTCAACCGCTTCAATCCTAATATGGGTTTCGACCTATCTCAAGAGAGCTCCAAATTCATGAGCTACAAGACCGAATTGGATCTCCCGCTCCCACAATTGATGCAAATCGCAAAATCGGCGAAATCTGTTCTCCGTTTAGGTCTCGACATCGGTGGTGGCACGGGGACCTTTGCTGCGAGAATGAAGCTGCATAATGTGACGATAGTGACTACAACCATGAACGTGGCCGCGCCATACAGTGAGGCCGTGGCGCTGAGGGGGTTGGTGCCGCTGCATGTGCCGCTGCAGCAGAGGCTGCCATTGTTCGATGGTATTGTGGATCTTGTTCGATGCGGTCGCGCAGTAAACCGGTGGATCCCATTAACGATGATGGAGTTTATGTTCTATGATGTGGACAGAGTATTGAGGGGCGGAGGGTATCTGTGGATAGATCAATTCTTCAGCAAGAGAGTGGACCTTGAAAATGTTTATGCCCCTTTGATTGGAAAGTTTGGGTACAAAAAGGTGAAGTGGGCGATCGGAAATAAGACCGATGCTACTGGGTTGAAGAATGGAGAGGTTTACTTGACTGCCTTGCTTCAGAAGCCTCTATCGAGATGAAGTTAAATACAGAGGTAGCGTGCTGTCCCTAATTGGAAGGTCCTTTCTGTATCTAACACCCATATACTTTAAGTACGTTAAATGAAAATTACGTGATTCATGACTAGCTTTTATATGCATTCGCCATTGCAATTTGATTACATTATGTTGTAAGTGAATAGAAGTTATCCGTATAATAAAACACGATAGTTCGGTTTGATAGACCAATTCATGGTGAGCTGAGTAGTTATTGAATGCTTTAATAAATAGGTGACTTAATTGGTTGAACTTTGAGGGTTTCTAGTTATTGGAAGGACCAAGTTGTCTTTCAACATGAAGCTGATGGAAATATTATGTAACAAACATTTACAACGGCCTGGGGCCTAAGGACTACTTTGCTGTTTTCAATGCGTTTGTCTGCCCAGACTATGTACTATTTCATTCAATTACCTTGGATCTTGATTAGTGGAGGTCTTGGTTTCACTGAAATTTTCCATGGAATACTTTGACTCAAGAAGTTATATGCTTCAGTATCTTTTACAAAGGACATCGTTTCAATGTAACCGGAATTTTAGACTTATCAGAGGGGAAGCCATCTGGGCATCTACTGTTGATCAGTCTGAAGAATCATGTCTATTTTCTGCCATTGTGCATGAAGTGCTTCTAAACCTTTTAACAATGAGTATAGTATGTGGGATTGTCTATCATTTGCTTTTTCCAGAAGTTTGCCTCTCAAACTTCTAGACTCGTGGGGGAACAGTTGTGTTACTCCGCAACTCCCTAATTTGTTGTGCTGAAGTGTTTTTGTTTTGGTTGCAGTTAGATGTATTATGTGAGGATGATATGATCAGAAGTTAATTTTCCTGATCTTGCCTATTCTAGACTTGTTCCTGGGACAATCAACCACTTCATGTTTACAGTTTGACGCAATTAATAAGGGGTTGGATAGATTTCCTCTCATGGAACTCCTCACAATTGCATGACATGATTAGATTCCTCTAACATTAGAAAGGAACATAACTCTAATTTTATCAAATAAAATAATAGGTAACAATCACAGTCGTTGCTCTTTAACCATCCATCTACTATTTTTAGTGAGCTCACGTTTATGAAGTTAGACGTAGTTCGATTCATGTGAGAATAGATCCTGGATTATGCTAGAATTTTAGGTAGACATGCATTTCAGATTACAGGAAGGCAGTTTGCACTAAAATGCATGGGCCTTACATTCTATGATAATCCTGGTAACTCTTGTTCATGTTTTGAGCAATTAATGTCGATATCATCTACTTACCAAAAAAAAAAATGTCGATATCATCTGGGGCTTTGCATGTCACCCCCACACTTCACTTCTTACAGAGGAGGAAAAGAGTTCCCCCTTTATAAGGGTCACTACTGTACGTTAGAATAGCATAAGCTTTAACAACTAGTTTAGCACGTGACTTTCTATCATTTGCTTTGACCTAAAGTTTAACAGTTTTTGAACCAAAAAAAAAAATAAAGTCAAAATTCACGAAACATTTTTTGTAATATCAAAGTCTGCATGATTTTTCAGTAGGTTCTGTACCGATGATAAATAATCATGTTATTCTGCAACTCCCTGCAATTTTGCTGTGCTTAGTAAGATTATGTTCTTGATTGCAGTTAGAGATTGGAGTATTTGATATGAGAAATTGTTTATCCTAATTTCCTTGCACCTTCTACCTCAGGCAGTTCGTGAAGAAATACTGATACCTACTGGGACGGATTGCTCTGGTTGCCGGTTGTAAACGTTGCGAAGGCATCCACTCAATGAAGGAAACTTAAAGGAAGATAAAATGGAATTGTATATCGATAGTGGTCTTGGGACAAATGGCGAAGGAAAATATGCCCAATAGACTTTTTTTTTTTTTTGCTCATAGTTGTTTTTATTGTTATTTCAATTAATTGTTTAGAAATAAATTTTAGAAACGCCAATTGCCTGGTTAGCAATAATTTTTTAATACGATGGGTATTTTGAGGTTTGTCTTCAGTTGACTAAATTTCAACATACAATCCGGGAAATCCAAGAAACACAAACCAAACTCAGGACGCCCCTGCGGGTAAACTCAACAAATTCTTGTTGGTAAGTTTCGTTATCTCTGGAATTTGCAGAGCTCACCCTTTGAAATGGGAAGAGCACAACACTAGATTATAAGGTTGCCATTAGCACAGTGATCACGCCACAAGATGTTTTTCGAAATTCACTAACAACTAAAGCAACGAAGGCATCCCTCGTGCTGATTTTCTATTACGCTATTTGGGGAAACACCCATAGCCATCTCTCATTCTGCAGCTTTCCGCCTTAGTAGGTGATCCACAGGAAGCTTGTTGATCTTAGCAGCAAGTATGAAGTCATTTTCTGTCAGTCCGCCTGCATGAGCATAGATCACTTTGAAAAATGCCCAGGGAATAGATTCAATAAAACCCAGGATTAAATATCAGGAATCAAAAAAATACATAGTCCTGCTTTGCACGCATAAATTATAAAATGAAACCCAAGACAATCACTTCTCATTTGTTTCAGTACTGACATTACCATCTGCTTTCAAATCGAATTTTTTTAAGTTGCTTCCTTTTCTTTACTTGTTACGAGCAGCTTTTAAGCAAATAAAATAGCAAACTTAAAGCTACTGAATAGATGCCCACATCAAGGCCTCAGAAAATCATAAGAGCAAAGTAGCAAACTTAAAGCTACTGAATAGTGAATAGATGCCCAGATCAAGACTTCAGAAAATCACAAGAGCATGGGACCTTTTCCTTTTTGAAGAGGAAAAAATATACATTTATCTGCTTTACAGAGAGTGACAGGATAGCAAGAGCAGAGATGCATGATAAAAAGGAAAAAAAAAAATCAATGTCAATAAAGACAGACCAAATTATCTTATGCTTGAAATGTACTGTTTCATCGATGCTGTAGCCAGTAAGCACCAATATGCCTACACAAACTCGTGTTGATTTCACATCATGCGTGGGAAAAAGCTCTTTTGTATCATATTTCTACATGCCGACAATGGATCAAATAACTTGAATAGTAATTCATACCAACTGCATGAGTCCAAATCTCTATAGTAACATTGTTCCAACCAACAAGGTGAAGATCGGGATGATGACCTGCATTACAAACGCCTCAGTTATATCTTTTGTATAACCTTTAACATCAAACAATAATAGTAACACAACGAATAAAGAACATGATACCTTCATTTTCAGCAAGATCAGCAACTATCTTGAAAAGCTCCAACCCCTTGGTGAAAGATTTTACTTTCCATGACTGCCTCAGCTTCATTATACCATCTTCCTTTACCAAATTCCATCCAGCAACCTGACCACCCCGCGTAAATAACAAAAATGATGGCACTCGGAATTAGAATCAAAGAACTTGAAATTTATAAATGAACCTGCGGCATAAGAGAGTCTGCTACACCATCGGTCATGGGTCGCAATTCCTTTGTATTACATGGTACACACTTCTTAATTAACAGATCTAACAAACAGCCAGAAAACAAAAGGCATATTAGACGACGACACAAGGAGATTTTTGCATATGCGTGCTGTCATCAAACTAGTTTCTTACACAAAGAGCCAATTATTGAGACAAAGTAATAAAATAGCAAGGTTCATCAAAGAAATGATAATTTCTCTTAATAGGAAACAGGGAGAGTATAAAGCTGAAGTACCGAATACATCTATATGGACAATACAACTTTGAATGAGCAGAAAGTGAACAGGAGGGATATCGTTGAATATTGACAAGGCCCAAAAGCAAGGGCACAGGGGTCATTTGAAATTCAAATCCCATGAAACAATCGAAGAAACATCCATGAAACAATGAGAGAATCGTGTTTAAGATGGGACATCTAGCTATCACTCTCAGAGAAATGTAAATAAATATATGTATAAATATATTCATCTAAAAGGAGAGGAGTTTCAATCTATTGTATGCCAATGCATTTTCATCCATTCTCATCCCGTTGGCCATACTAAGAGCAGGAATTTGAAGCATAAACCTCAGTATTACTAATGAAAAATTAAAAATAATTAGATGTGAAAAGAATATACTTGCTCCGCAGCCAAGGAGCAAAAGACTGAAAAAGGTCTAGACGAACCTTTGCTAGTGCAATATGTTCTAAATCTGGGAAGTGACTTATTTGATGAGACTCCAACTTGATCCTTAGGTATGTCAATGACACGACTACATAAACTGCAAGCAAGTTAAAGTGGAATTCCAAAGAACAAAAATTCACGCTGAAAGCATGATAAGTAAAACTCACCAAACATTAAAAACTGTAAATAGTGAATAAATAGGTGTAAAATCAGTATATGCTTAGCAAATGCACGTTGGAAGGAAGGGGAAAACAACTTAGCAAATACACACACTCATAAATAATTATTTAAGCGACTAAAATTAGTAGAAGAGGATCCAGTACCTAGTAGAATACTACAGCCAAATCAATCCAAATCAACAAAAACACAGTGAAAATACTAAAGTCAAATCAAAATTTCAACTTAATGACGCCACGGTTCTAAAGTTTCCAATTGATAGCCAAGGCATTCATCACTGATAGATTCTCTCCCTAGTTTCTTACCCCAGGCAGGGGAAGATGGTATCGACTGGCGAAAATTAGACAATCACAGAAAGTGACACATCAAAATGCAAAATCCATATGAATGCGTAAACCCAAAAGAAAAATCTTGAAAACATGGAAAACCCAACCGAAGAAACAAATAGTACCATCCATCCGATCGAAGGAAGTCTTCAAACAACGGTGCAAACGAAGCCTTAAGGTTGGGTGAAGAGAGTAGGGGAAGCTGAAGAAACCGATTCATTCGCTAAAATTTGCCTCAGGCGGTGAGGCTTATTGCAGCTTGTATGATGCACTAACCGTTTCCGCCGGAATTTCGCCGAATGAGCGCAGCAAACCTTTTCACATTCCCCTTCCGCCCGGTAGGTACAACAAGTCTCCAATGCACGGCAGGCGTTTAATTTAATTTAATTTAATTTTTACAAAGCACAAATTTTCCATGTCTAAAAAATAAGTCACAACTTTTGACTCACATATCGCGCAATTTGTAATTTTCGTACCATATATTTCTTAGTTATGAATACAATATAATTTATTTCTCATATTTGCGTGGAAATGTATTTGATTAAAATATAAATTTTTTCTAAAATTATGAGATTGTTTTAAATCACATGTAGGTTATTCTTACGTGTTAGGTAAAATTTTAGGAATAAAAATTTTATATTTTAAGTAATATTATAAATTTATCAATAATTAATAATCTAATTACTAATTATGTTAATTTGAAATCGATCAAAGACATGTTATTGAAAAAGGTCTTTTAGTGCTATAAAAAAAGGCCTTTTATAATTTTGTGAAAAAAACTAATAAATTATTATTTTATCTTAAATTATGAATATCTCTTTTTTTATACCAGCGAGTTATGAATATATCAACGCATACGTATATGCGTGTGCAATATATACTGAATCAAAATCAGTAGTGCAACTTATTTTTCAGACTTAAAAAATATAGATAAATTCATAAATTTGTCTCTTGTAAAAGCACCATGGGGCTGCCGATAAAAAATGGTATCATGTGGTTTAAATATTAGAATTTTCAATAAAAAAATGAAAAAAATTATACGTAGGAATAATTATCAAGATTGTTATTAATGAATATCTGATGACATAGAAAATACCAATAACCACGAGATTGAACATTTCGCTATTTTGCATCATTTTAAAATTTGAATCTCTACTTCTTTCAATATTATTTTAAGTGCACTTTGTTTAGAAACAGCATCATTGCTAGAGAATAAAACAATAAATCAAATTTGCTATAATGGTTTGAGACCCTATAATACTAACTACGATATCGTTTACTTTATACAAGACGCTTCAACTTGCAGGACACTGACTCAATTTTCTGACATCAACCCTGACAAGTTAGATTACAAATTCTCTCTATTGTATGAGAAAGTAGTCTGCATCCTGACCAAAAGTATCCCCAGCAGTAGGAGGTAAGTTACTTCGTTGAACACTTTCACGAACTTTAGCATGAGTCTCTGCTTCATGTTGAAACATCCTCACCAATTCTTGCAACTCGAGCTTCCTAACTTCAACCTGTTCCTCGGCAATAGGTTTCCTGAGTCCGAGGTAAGACAGACCAAGTGCAATAAGCACTCCTCCTATAAAGAATGTGATGACTGTGAAGACACCAAATGCATATGGTGTATTTGCTGCCCCAGGTATTCCATCAACGTTAATTCCAAATAGTCCAGTAATGACGGTAAGGACAACGCCAACTCCCCCAAATACGCCTAAATTATGGGTCACTCGCAGGCTTCTGTCCTGAATTAGTATTCAACAAATGCGTCAACAGTTTAGGTGTCAGTATGAGAACAGTTATGGAGAAATCATTTTGAATACTGTTTGTGTAGGAATGGCAATGGATTGGAGTAGGACTTAGTTTGCAATATCCATCCTCATCTTGTTATTCATTTTGTTCAATACCCACGCTTATGATTATGTTTTTTTCTAAAAAAAAGGGGGGGGGGGGTTTGGTTTCTTTTCTACTAATATCCGTGGGTATTTTATCGCCTGATACCCATCTCTACTTATAAGTTCAAACCTCATCATAGATGGTTTTGTAGATTTATATGATGTAGGAATATGAGGCAAAATAGAGATCGAGCTACTTGGCCCAAACATGCTCGAAGCCCTGATTGGATGTTAACTTATCCGACCCAACCAAGATGCGACATGCAGAGTAAATATCGGTGTAAGTTGTCATCCTGTGTTTGAAAATAAGAACTGGGGTGAAAAACTTGGCAACAATACCTGAAGCCAGGCACGAACACTACTCAGCATAACATCTTGAATGGTAAATAGGCGGCCTCGAACTGCTTCTTGCTCCTCAATCATGTTCCTTGTTCTCTTTCTAATTCCCTCTAACACATTTCTTGCCACATTGCCTCTCACATGTTGGAGAAGCTCAAACACAATCTCCTCTCTCGCATGCAGTGACCACTTTACTCTGATAACCTGCAGTGGAAACACAATAGTAAAGACAATGGATAACGCTCCAGTCTCTCCTGCATGGTGCATACAAACTGAGAAGTAAGAGCTATAATATGTGTGCCTGAGTGATTAACATTAAAATGATCAACACACATGAGATCTTCCATATCTCTATAAACGAACAGTTATTCCTTAATATAACCTTTCTACCGGTTATCAGACAAAATAAACATGTGCTGCCTCCATTAAAACCCCAACATCTGTCGTTGTCATCATTAATATTTGAAAAATTAATATCCAAATATGATTTTTTAACCATATGTTTCAGAGACAAATTAATCACTATTAGCAGCACATTTTCCTTACTAAAACATACCAATTAATAATATTACTTCATCTGTTTAACTTTTGTCAGTAAGAGTGTAAGAAACTGCTCCCACGTCAAACGACATACTCAATGTTCAGTTGTTCACAGAAACTCCATAGAAATTATTCAATAAGAAAGTAGCAGACCAAGCCAATATAAAAAGAAATGGTATGCTTCATGTAAAAATGATCGAAAGAAATATATTTGGGCTTACAATTACTCATATAGCTCATAATAAGAAATTCCTTCAAAGAAATATTTTCTGAATCAACATACCTGTCTAGATAACCTTCTGATTTCTTGATTAAGAATTATGCTTAAAAGGTTTATGTCTTCATGGTTTCTCCTAGTCAAAAGGAAAACTCTCAATTTAGCGCAGAGCCATTTTAAAGTAACACTAAAATTTGAATTGCCACACATAATGCACAGTAACAAACCTGTTCATAAACTTCAATTCAATCTCATCCGCTGCCCCAAATATTGTTTTACGGAATAACCTGGATATCTAAAGAAGATTATTAAACCAAAGTAACAAAATTGAAGTTCTCTATGAATTGTAGTTTCCGAAGTGCCATTCCATCACACAGAGTCATGCCTCGATGCAAACATGAGGCCAATTCCTAACATAGCATGCCACTTTTTATGAAGCATGACTCAGATGCAAATAAGCCCATGTATAGTCAATTTCTGAGAGGAAATAAGTCTTACAATCACAATCTTGAACTTCAATTATTTTTGTTTTTATTTAGATTTTCTTGATTTTGTGATCTTATCTCCATAAAATCACGACTTTGCATGTTATATAAATGAAACAAACAAACACACACACACACACACACACACACACACACACAGAGACACAGAGCTACGAAGGAAAATGATATTCAGCCATTCAAGAATGCATTTGCTGATACGATGCCAAACATTTACCCCTTTTTTCTTTCAGTCAGGGACCCCCTAAGAGTTTCTTCGGAATGATAACTGATTTATGAATCCTCAAGCATATAAAAAGTTAACGGAAATGTGCCAAGTTATAAGGCAATTATCAGTTTAGTCTTCTTTACAGGAAAAACGAATGCGCAGCCAGAAAAGGAGAAACAAAGATGTTTCAAAAAGTTAAAACTAAAGCATAGAACACAGCATGAAACATGAGATATAAATATACCACGCACATGACCTGTTTCAAATGCTACTGTTCATACCAAATAAATCACATATCAGATAATGTTGTCATTACCTATCATCCCATTGAGAAAGGTGGCATGCTAAACGTGCTATAACTTCATGCACAGTTCTTGGCATGTCATACCCTCCAACAGAAAGAAGCTCCTAAACCAAAGCAGAGTGCTGAAGCAATGAAACATATTTTTAAAAGTAGAATGCACATGGTAGTGAACTTGTGGCTAGATGTCATCAAAGAAATATGCCAAGGAAGAAAAACCTGGACTTCTGTGATACCCAAAACATTCACTCTTGACACGGACCCCTTTACGTGCATTACAGTTACTAGGAAGTTTTGTGCTTGCCAGGACCTAAGTACCACAGGGACATCATCTTCGTCATCAAAGGGATCACCAACAGACTGTCCTAAGAGCTCAAATAACAGACCTCCAGCAACTCTAACTGGGATCTATATACAAGAGAACAACTTCAGCAATAACCGAGAAACTAGAGGCCGAAGAAATAACCCCTTAGAGTAGGAAAACATTCATTGCTTGTTGCAAATATTGTTCAACAACAAGATTCCTTCTAACATCTATCCTATATTAGCAGTTAAGGATACATTAGGGCTAGAGTAGATCATTCACAAAGATGAGAATTAGAATGATTAGTTGACAATAGATTTTAAAAAATAGTTGGAAAGAAGAAAAAGGAAATGGATCATTTTGACAAACATGTTATTCCAACTTTTTATTCGATCTGAAGGCAAGTAATACATAACACAGTTTACATGCACTTCCTCACCTGTATGTAAAAATGCTTAATACTGGAAACATGCTCACTTAGCTATAGGTGACAATAGTTGATATACTATCAACATATAAAATCAGCAACAAAGCATCTTGCTCATCCAAGATCGGTTCATTTTTTACTTTGTTATTATGGAAGCTGATCTAACAAACAGCAACCCAACAAGCCCCCAGACCAGAAACAAACAAGTAACACCATTGAAGAGATAAGATATGACTTCTTTATATATAGTGGCTAAAGCTGTTGAAGAAGGTCAAAACACTTGCTATTTTAGTGCAATCTTCATTCAAAGATCATCCACAATTCATAATCAAGATTTTCCCCCCAAAAGTTTTGCAAATTATGGAATTCATTTCTTTAGTTTCTCTCTTTAGAGTTTTAGCATATGTATTTCTGATTTTCTTGCTGACATTGTCACTGATCTTGTAAGCTTAGCCTAAGACAGCACCAAGAGCTTGATATTGCGCATTGGAAATGATCTTTAGCAAAGTAGTGTCCAAGATCAGATTTGAAGACAATAACATCTAAGAGTAGAAAAACGGAAAATACAATTTACCTCATAGAGAAGATGTTTCATTCTCTCACTTATTAGCCGACTTTCATCTCTTAGAGCTACACTGATGGCAGGATGAAGCCACTGAGCATTTCTAAGCCACACCTCAATGTTGGGGTGACCTGCAGCCACATTGCACCACCATATGGGTCCTGATGGGCGCTCCCAGTAGGGAGCTGCTAAATCTGCCACAGTGAAATCATCTTCATCGTCTGCTGTCCCAAACTGCTGTGAGGCCCAGGCTCCATCAACCTGAACAGTTTGGACAAGCTCCAAAATTCTTGTCCACCCAATTGGCACCCAATGACTACGCTCATACTTTTCTGCAGCATTAAATTGGCCAGACTGAAAAAACTGGCCATCTTGGTCATCTGAGTTATGCAACCGACTACCACTTAAATGAAATGCAGATGATGACTCTGACAACATGTTTCTATCTGGTCTCAGGGAAGCCCCTCTTGAACCATTTGCAGGGACATATATTTAGGATATTCAACATCCATTTGTTGTTTATCTGGGATAGTTGAAGGGGAACTTGATTGAACTGATTTTCTTTGACCTCGAACAAATTCAAAGGCACAAATAAGCCCATCAGTCCAAAGGTCAATTTGAGAATAATTATCCTTAACATCACAAGTTTTAACGTTTGCAGGTTTCATCTTTTTGCTCAGGGAGTGCGAATGGTCTCTTTCTCTATGTCACTCATTTTCACCTCCACCCAAGGGTATGCACAAAAGTAAAGCATCCAACATGTATCATCATGTCAAGGTATCTCTGGACCAGAAACTTCACAAAGCACACCACTCTTCCACGAACAGCATCATAAAGGACAGATTCTGTCATGTGATGTTTGAAAAAATTAGTTTGACTTCACATCTTGGTTTGATCATCAATAGAAAAATTTCTAAGGGACCATAAATTAATTGTGCAATTT